TATATATATATATATATATATATATATATATATAGTATAGACACATTTATACGCAAAACATTTCAATACAATATATAAATAATATATATATATATATACATACCATATACACACATACATATATATATATATATATATATATTGTCCATTAGTTTTAGTATTTTTCTTTCAAGGTCACCAGAGTGCATTTGTTCTGATTAGTCTTGGGCCGTTATTGACCCTCTAGCGGACATTTTAGGGTCATTAGCTGTATTAGTCGAAGGTGCAGAGGGACAGATGCCGCTCACTGGTTTAAGACTTTGCAGATTTACGTGACCTTTAAATCCGTTTGGTCAATCCAACTCGCTCACTTAATCCGAGAGAATTTCCCGTCAAACTGCAAATCTCCTCGTCTCATGTTTCTGCAGCAGAAATGCGGGAGTGGAAGGCCAAAGCCGCAGCCTAATTAAACCTAATGCCAGTTTTATATGGAGGAATTAGAGTGTGCTTTAATTTGCTCTCTTTAATGCTTATCTTATATGACTGTAAATTGGTTGTTCGGGTTTATAAAATGAAGGACTGTCATGTGAGGTGTCTTTACTGTGGAGATGTGCTTTGATCTGATATATTTGAATTTAAATGGAATGTTTTTGAGGTTTAATCATTTGATTTCTGTGTATTGGTTAATGTAGGTTCTTTCCCTTAGTGTAAAATTGTATTTTATAAATAATTTTTTGGTTTTTTATTGACCTTTATGTTGTATCCGTAGCGATTTATTAGGAGCCAAGCAGTGAATGTCATGTTGAAATCCCAAGAATTGTTTGGAGGAACTTTGTGAAATTTGGCACATTTATTGCAAAGGGTTTAAACATTAATTGCACCAATTTTAGGATCTCTACCTTAAAACCCTCAAGCGCCACCATCAGCTCAAAACATGACTCTGTAACTCTAGAAAATCATATCTGGCAACATAAATCTGCTGATTTTATGGGTTAAAGTGCAAATACATTTCACTTTATTAATAATTCTTGGGGAATTTCTTCAGATAAAAACAGTAAAAAGTTGTTTGTTCTCCAATTACAACAGTGACCATGTCAAGATTCTAGGTTTTCAAATAAATATTCCATATACAAACTCTTCTATTGTTTTCTTGTAACAAACTTTCATTGAAAAGTACTGTTGTGGCTCCCAGGAGTCAATCTGTAGAGCAAATGTAAGTGTCAACAGTAAATGAAGCTAAAGGTTACTCGGGCGTTCAGTAAACATCAGAATTGCACAATTAAATGATTAACCGGTTGTAGTACAGTCTAGTAGTGTTCAGGCTGATCAGTATGTGTGTGCATTCAGTGCTGGTTCAGCAAGTCTTGTGTACTGTTAAATTTGACACCCATTGGTGAGCTTTAACAGTTAGTTAGCCAATGGATTAACAGCAGCTTTACAGATGAACTTGAGGCAGTGGTTTAGTCTTGAAGTGGGTCAGTAAAGTAAACACTCTCACTGACATACATTCAAATATTCAACTAAACTAAATGAAAAAAAAAACTTTATATATGAAATACTTTGGTTGTAAGGTCTATTTTGTGTAATCCAAGCGAATACAATGCTATACAAATGAAAAGCCTTTAAGTTCTTTTATTTAGAACTTAAATGAACCCCCAAAAAATCCATGTTTTTTGTTGCAGTCCTTTTTGATTTCACATGTAAATAACAAAGCAGTCTTGCCAACTACTAGCCAGGCAAATATTGTATATTTACTGTGGTATAAATGGTATCGCAAAATCTCTTAACAGCTGATGTTTTTACTGTCACGCAGTATATACATCATCATATCATCCAGCTTTATGAATTATAGCAACTTAGATTTCTTTCCCATGTTTTTTCTCTTCTAGGACATGGACTTTGTGAAGTATATTATTAACTGCTTCAAAGTGTACTATCCAAAGTTTCTTTGTGAGTATATTCTGTTTTTTAAACCTCCTATTATAGCAGGGTTTCTCAAACTGGGTTGATGAAAAGTTCATTAAAATCAAAATGTAAAATTGAAACAATTAAAATAAAAAAAAAAGGTGAAATTTTATTATTTATGACATCAGAGAACTGTGAACATGCACGTGATGTTGAATTATAGAAATATTAACTTAAAATCTCAGACTTGAAGTAAATATTTAAGCTCAGAGGGGTTTGGCTGACAAAAAGGTTGGGGATCCTAGTATTATACAAAAGGGATTTCACATCTTTGTTTAAACATCTTTGTTTTGTTGTTCAGCCAAAATGATCATGTACGAGATGCCTTGGATCATGAATGGTGAGTTGTGATTGGCTCATGAGAAGTCTAAACAGATCTTTGTAATGATGTCTGGTCCAGCAGTTCATTTGTCATAACCTTTTCTTGTGTGTGGCAGCTGCCTGGAAGATAGTGAAGACGTGGCTGGGCCCCGAAGCCATCAGTAAGCTCAAGTTTGTCACGAAGAGTGACATCCAGACGTATGTCGGCCCCGAGCACCTTCCACCACACATGGGAGGAACGGTATGTACAAATAAGAGAGTTACTTGTTTTTAATTAAATATGGCTTGGAGTTTAAATAAGATAAATTAAATAGATGTACTTTGATCAGATATATTTAAACTAAAATGGAATGGAAGTTCTTTGCCTTAAAGTGTAAAATTCTATTTTAAAGGGATAGTTCACCCAAAAATTCTGTCATTAATTACTCACCATCATGTCGTTCCAAACCCGTAAGACCTTCGTTCATCTTCGGAACACAAATTAAGATCTTTTTGATTAAATCTGAGAGCTCTGTGACCCTCCCATAGACAGCAAGGATACTACCACGATCAACGCATAGAAACGTAGGTAAAATAGTCCATGTGACATCAGGGGTTCAACCGTAATTTTACGAAGCTACGAGAATACTTTTTGTGCGCAAAGAAAACAATAATAACAATTTATTCAGCAGTTCTTCTTCCAGAGTTACCATTTTCCACCATTTTGGAGAGTAACCCAGAACGTAATCAACGTAATCAGTAGGGATGTAACGATGAACCGCGAGCCGGTTGAAAATCGATTAAAATATGTGACGATTCAAATCGGTTGAGATGCCAAACAAATCGCAATACAATTGGGGGTGGGAGAATGTATCTCTGAGGGGAACTGACTGTCTTTAGAAAAGTTTAGATGGCATTTTCTTTTCATCTTGCCTCTGAACGATGCATATTAAAGTAGAGTTCATAAGCGCAGCTCTGCTTTGTTTACAGCGATAACCAAGGAAACACTGTATCATTGCTGTTCATAAGCGCCACCTGCTGGCCGAGAGTGAATCTGCGTCTCATTCAGCTCATCTGCGGTTTCCTTCAGATGTGTTTTATGTAGTATAGTTTCACAAAACTAAAGTCAGACCATTCTGTTTTTGCTTCAAATTTCGAAATTATACAATTTAACAAACTCCTGTTGCATGTGTGCAGCATCTTTGTTTGATTAAAATGCAGTGGTTGCCTCTAATTTTAAATGGAAAGAGCACAGACAAAGCCTTAGTTTGTTAGTTCACCCAAAAATGAAAATTAGCCTGTGTTTAACTCACCC